TCATAATGGTTCTAAGACATGGGCAAACACTTTTTTTTAAATCTGTAAATTTAGAATACAATAAATATAAACTGCGCACAGCTTTTGATGAAACCAAGAGACCATCACACCTTTGCATCTTGTGTTGTTTGTGTTTAGCGGCAATGATTTCATAATGATCTGTTGGCCCCCGAACTAAAACTCTTTTAACCCTTTATGAAGCATTTATCAGGGCTGTATTTGTCAACAACTTAAACCAGGTATAGGCAGCTTTAAAAACATAAAATATACCTTATAAATTAATTTACTGCAACTTCATTGAAACATGTCCCACCGTGCCAGACCTAAAACTTTATTTTATTTTGTTCTAAATGTGTTAATGTTTACATAACGCTAACAAATGTAGAAAAGGTCAAAGGGTTTTGCTGGTGACACCTAAATGAAATAACAAATTGAAAATCAAATGTATGAAAACATCACAAAGAAGAGGAATGAAATCTGTTCGATCATGGAGCACTGCTCTGTTTCCATTTAGCACTTTTTGGGGACTAGATTGTTAACCGTGGTTGAGAGACAAAATCCATGGTTTTTATGTTTATTCTTCCTGCAGCAGACACTAAAGCCCCTCTCAGAGGACATTAGGTGACACACACACACACACACACACGAGAAGATGTGAGATAAATCAACACCCATGATGGACTTCAGGCAACTGTCCCACCAATATGTGTGGAGTGTGAAAGTCCTAACAAACGCTGGAACACTGAGGTAGGTTACAAACTGTTACAGATTGAAGGAAATGGTTTTGTCAGTCTCTTACCTCTTCAGAGTGTGTGTGTGTGTTAATATACAACACTATCTATACATTTACCATGTTAGGTGTCATGTAATGTCTGAGAACGGTTGGTATGCGGCTTGTCCTTGTGTGCGAGTGTGAGAGGTCATTTAGGGCAGCTGTCGGTGTCACTCCCCTGTAGTTATTGTTAGAAGCAAATGGAGCCTGTGGGATACCTTTCATGACACATGTTGGTTCTTTTTTCAAGTAGCCCAACACCAAAAACAATGGAGTAACAGGGATTGACTCTCTCACACTTCAGAAAAGGAAGACTGTCCAAATACTCAAGAGGACAAAATATCAGGCAAAGGACTGTGAGATGTTTGGCTGTCAGCCAGGATGCTCTGATGTTCTTCAAAAACAGACAGGCACCCCTTAAAGGGCTCCAAAGTACAAGTTCAATTAGAGGGTTCATGCTTTGAATTCTTTATATTATTATTGATTGTGCATTAATCTAAAGAAAGGATTTAAGATGGTTCAGGTGGCACCATTTGGAAGTAATTAAAAAAAACTCCAGAACTAATGTAAATATATGAATTCTGTATTTAATTGAATGATAGTCTGATCTTTAGAGAAGACTAATTGTGATTGGAGGCCTATTGACAATAACATAAAATAATTAAAGTCCCTGTGATTAGTTTTTAGCTGATTATAATACAGTCTGGGATTAATTCAGATGCCTGAAGCTTTCTGAGCTACAGAAACAAATGAGACCATTAGCAACAACATTGATTATGTCTATTTTGTCATTTTTACTGTGTAAACACAACTACGGGGTGAGACAAATTACATCAGTCTGAAGAAACAGCCTATGTTTACATTTTTTCAGAGCAAATATTCATAGTAAGTGATGTATTTGACTTAAAAAAGAGGTGAGTATTTTTCTTTCAAGAAAACACTATTTACAGGACCAGATTAACAAAAAAAGATGACATCCAGCTTTGTCCACAGGGGGGCGCCAAAATCAACACAAACTAAAGGTTCCTCAGGAACTTTAAAGAATAGCTTAGGCAAAGCAAATTGCAGTAAAGTAGAATGCACAATGTTTTCCTCTGACATGCAGAGGACAGAAAGTATAAAATAGCATGAGAAGAACATACACAATCACTGCACAAATCTTTAATTCATCCTCAACGACAGTTCTTCAGTGAATATACTTTGCTATGACCATTTAACAATACTGCATAATGTCCATTCAGCAACTGATGTAGATTACTCATCCCATAATCCGACCATCTTCTGAAGCGTGTAAAGGACTTCATGAAGTCTATAGTTGGGGGGGGGGAGTTATCAATGATGAAATAAGCTTTGGTCGTCCAAAAGCTAAAGTAGTCTTAGTCCTGTCTGCTAGTTCTTTTCATGTAAAAACTCAACAACAACGTACTAACCAATGGTTTGAGAAAAATGTAGTAGCCTAAAAGCTTCAAAATTCCCCTCTGAAAAACATTGGAGTGGTAGAATGAAGAAAGATCAGATGGAAAAAGGAAAGTAAACAGAAGCATATTTGAGTAAGAGAATGCTTTTCTGTTCAATCCATAGTTGTTACTTGTTAATGAAATGAAGTTTTGACCAGGGATTTTAGTGTGCAGCTGTGACGTGCATCTTTCTCAGCAAGGATTTGTGACGGCACAGAGCATATTGTAAGACATACCACCTTTATTAAATGCACAGTATCACAAGGAACATTTCCATTAATTGTGGATAAGCTACTCACATGATGCACAAAGCATTGAATTGATTGATAGAACTGGCTGATTAAAGCAGGATTAAATCTGCCAGAATAGCACACACACACACACACACACACACACACACACAAACACACACTCTTGCATACGGAGGTATGTGCACACACACACACACACACACACACACACACACACGCGCACACACACACACACACACACACACACACGCCATCACACAAACTCACACTCTTGTCTCTGTATTCCCACAGTAAGTAAAATTTGTTATCCGCACAGGAATGAAAACTGTAATCGTTTTTTCTTTCACCACATATGTACAAAAAAATCCTCGACCCGCCCTCCCCTCCAGATAGATTACATTCAAAAAAGGTCCCGACCCTGCTAGATTACATTCAAAATAATATACTATTCATGATGCAAAGTCACAGTTATTCATCTGAAAGAGGATCAAAGTAGGCTACAGTCAGTCAGAGGTTGAGTGGCGGCCGAGTTTGCCAAGAGGCGACCTTAGACCTCGTCCCTGTCAGCTCGGAGGGATCCTGATGTTTTGAATCAGATCCAGAGTCTATGATCCTCCTGCGGACAGTCAGCAACTCACACAGCCTCTGTGTAAATCTCCCCATCACAGTGGAGAGGAAAGAGGAGATCTTTTTTCTTCTTTTTTTTTTTTTTAAAACATTGTTCAAATGAAGTCCTCTTCAAATCCAAAGTCGCAAAAAAAGGATTGTTTTCTCACTGGTATTATGAACGAGCACAAAGAAATAATACAATGTAGCACAAATTAAATTGTATTTACATATAGTATGTATTGCCAGTGGCCCATAACACTTCTTCAATACATGTCACAAAGTTTTTGACATGATATCTGCTTCAAACAGATTATACTATTCAACATAGCCTACTATTGATATAGACACATTTCAGAACTGTACAGAATGGACAGCAATTTATATACAGCAGACATGTAACTATTATACAGAACTAACCGTAAGAAAAAAAAAACCCACAAAGGGACACTTTTAGGACTTGCGCCAGTCATGGCCAGCAAAACAAAGGTGTGTTTGTTTTTAAGTGCAGGTAAGGTTGAGGCAAACAGCAGCTGCTCAGGTTGTGCATTCAGGGATCAAACGGCAGTTCCTGTTTCTTTAGAAACCTTTGTCCTGTTGATAAATGTTTAGGTGTGTACATTTTGAATGGGTACAAAATGTTTTGAATTTGCTCCGGTAGATTGATTTGTCCAGCAGCCACATTCAAACTGTTAAAGCTGTCAGGTATTCCTTTGGGGCTACCCCTAAAAATGTTTGTTTTTGCCACTTACAGACTCAGTCTGTAGTGTCTACAACAAAGGGAAGTCTCGTTCTGAAATCTCAAGGTGAACCAACTGATTACATGTAGAGGATGTCGGAATTAAATCTGAGCTAGCTTGCTAAAGCTACAACCTCCAGTGTTGATAAATGAAACCAATGCAGAAGTGTAAAAAAACACGCAGTTCCTTAAGTGCCCACTTGAGGCTGGCTCGATAAGCCATTCGATACCCTTAACCCCCTGAAAAGCTCATTTCTTTATTGGTAAGAACTGTACTGGACATGGCTGAGTTGACTTACAGGCGGGTGCTTTGAAGCGCCTGCCAGGAGACAGAAGGTCCGCCTCCTCTCCAGTTCTTTGCCTGTTGCTAGATTGATCCAAAGTTAGGTTGAGCTAGCATTTCCAACATGGCGACTGCCATTGTATCCGGTTTTAAAACGCCTCTTCAGAAACAAATTGTTGACATCACCGAGACTATGTCCATATTTAAGTGGACTTTAGTGGCTTGCCTGCAATTGCCCCAAAGGATTACATTACAGCCTCTGCAGCTGAAGTTTGACAGCGAGTGGAAGCAATCTACTGGAACTAATCTGAAATGTTTTGAGCCAACTATTTATTTACACTCCTAAACATTAAAAAAGAGCTTAGATTAAAAAAAAAACAACCAAAAAGCAGGAAGTCCCCTTTAAGTTACGCTACAAAGTACACTTAACATAAGTTGTTGTCTTAGCAAAGAGCCTTACTGCTTTATGCATTCATGGAAATAGATGACCGTGAATGAGGAATGGCTGCTGCTGCTTTTGTTTATAAAACACATTTTTGATCACCACACTTTGCTTTAATTTATCTTCCCTTTTTAAACGCTTGGAAACAGATTTATCAAAGCTCATTTCAAATATAAACTACAAGCATTCAGCCTGTACAAATGTGCTTTGCCGAAGCCCGAAATAGAGAGCTGTTTTTCAGTCACCACCCGGCTAAGTGGGTGAGCCCCCCCCCCCCCCCCCCCCGCCCCCTGGGACTCTTTAAGGGCTAACAAACTCTCAATTAATCCTTTTACTGTGGTCTCCCCACTGTGCAGAATTAAAAATCAGATCCTCAAAGTTCACTCCTGCATTGTAAATAAATAACAAAGAAAACAAGTAGCAACTTCAATGCATACAAAATAAAAAGTGTTGAAAACAAAGAAAGGCTCAATATATTTGATCATCAGTTCACTGTACACACGATCCCTCTCAGAAATAAGGAGAAAGAAATGGAGTTGATGCACTGTAAGTTTACCTTTGTGTCATTAAGATGTATACAAAACCACATCACCTACAGATATGGGCCACCGAACAACAAAGATGAGTTAAATGGCATTGCTGGTGAATGAAAAAGTAAAAAAAAAAAAAAAAAAAAGTGAAGCTGTGCTGATCTTTTTTTTTTTTTTTTTGGGATTAGTTACAGCCCAACAAGTCCTCATTCTCTGTGCTTTAGATACATCAAATGAAAAGGGTTGAGAACTTTAAAAACAAAAGTTTAAACACCATTCACATTGAGTTATTAGTTCAAAACCGATACTTAGAAAAAGGAAACAAATTATAGTATGATTTAAAAATGAAATAAACAGCGTAGAATATGTTTGCCCTTGTGTTTTACAACCTCAACATTGATTTCACATTAGGACGTCCTTCAGTGGACTAGAATAGGTTATATATAACAAACACAGGCTTTATGTCATCTATACGGTTTTCACACAGTTTTTTTTCAACATAACTGTATAATGATATATATGTAGATTTAAAAAATGAAAAAAAAAAAAAAAGAAGCTTCTGTAGACAACTTAAAATCCACTGATCAAAACCAACAGCTTGGTATGACAACAAATTTGATATTTATACATTTTACAAATATTAAAATATTCTGAAATATAAAAGAAAAATCTTCTCAATGAATATCTTCCTGCAGATTATTTTGCTCTGTGCTGAAAGAAGTGAAAGCTCTATCTACAAAGATGTGTCGGTACAAAGTCTGTTATGTAGACACATTTTTTTCCCTTTTTTTTTGTTCCCAGCAAATATGAAAACCAGGAGAGTGATTATTTATACCATGAATGTAGACAACATGATTCAGTTAATAATGATGCTGCTTCTCGGGTTTCATTTTTCTTTTTTTTTTTTATGCCTCCAACATGTACGAGTGTTGATTGTTTGGATAACGTTACATAAATCCTGTATGCATTTTGGTTTCCATTAATGAAACATGCCTCGGTAATGTCTGCAAATCAAAAGAAGAAAATAAAACAAAATATAATCACAGAAAATTTAAGGCTTTTCTCAATGCGATGAGGACGAAGGACGATAGCATTTACAGGAACATTTACAGCCAGGTTCTGTACACACACACACACACACACACGCAGGCACTCACAATCACACAGCTTTTAGTTTCCTCCTCGACCCAGACATCGTCTACACACACTTGCACGCAGAGTACATACAGGAACACAGATGCATCAGCCCAGTATGTCCAGGTAGACTGGCGAGGCCTTTGCGAGGCTCTGCAGCATGCTGTGGATCTCCTTGATGTTGAGCCTCATGTAGGGCTCCCTCTGCCAGCAGCCCAGCATCAGGTCGTACACCTCTTTAGGACAGGTGCGGGGCCGCTGCAGCACCCGGCCCTGTGTGATGCACTCGATCACCTGCAGGAAACAGGGTGACAAGACACTGTTAGACATAATACAATTTAATGTATCAATACTGAATTGGTTCAGACAAACCAACTAAAAACTAAAATGACAATCATTTAGTCTTTTCATTTACTGTAAAGTAATTATAAGCTCATTTGGTTCCCATTCCAGCCTCCCTTCTCTGTCAGTTAATATTCAGATGTCTGCTTTTACAATTATGACATCATTTGTTATGACATGGGATCATTCTGCAAACCTTGCTGCACTTTAAATCAATTCAGAAGCGGGGACTTTTTACTGTTATAATCAAGCTCCCTTCTATTTATACAAAAAATACAAAAAGATTAAAAACAATTCTGACACATAATCAAAAGATATTAGATTATTACTATTATTATTATAGGTATTATAGCTTTTAGGACCTGTCAAACTAAAAGAAAACAGAATACCATAATTCCCATAACGCAGCTAAGATTAATATGTTATTTGTAAAATTCATTTTTATTATCAGTATACAAATGTTTTAACATCTGAGCGTTGCATTAAGAGATCCAGCCATATGATTGCGGCCCTAGTGAGACACTGACCTCATTGTTGGAGAGCTGGTACCAGGGCTGCTTTCCGTAGGTGAAGATCTCCCACAGCACCACCCCAAGACTCCACACATCACTCTCTGTGGTGAACCGCCGGTACATGATGCTCTCTGGAGGCATCCAGCGGATAGGCAGCATCGTGTGACCGCCCACCTGTGGAGAGAGAGAGAAAATTGAGAGAGAGTTTCCATCACAAAACAACCACACAAGGCCTGCTGGAAGAGTTTCAAGCTGCTGAAGTGGACTGGAAATTGGGATGTCAGTTAGTTATTCGACAATATAGTCCAGATTCAAACGTCTCATAAAGTTTTGGAGTCTTGGTCATTTTTTTTTTTTTAAAGCTTATTTTTGGGCTTGTATGCCTTTATTGATATGACAGTGGGTATAGTGGGAAACAGGGATGAGAGAATGCCATGCAGGGATGGAGACTCAGGCCGCCCACTTCAAGGACGATACAATAGCTGTTCGTTCAAGGGTCGTGCGATGTAACTACTCGGCTATCCGGCGCCCCACCATTTAAATTTCTAACAGAGATTTTTGTTCCCATGATCATTTATTCCATTTGCTTTGTACATTCACATGTTGACGCATATTCTTTGTAATACTGTGAAATCTCCCGACATATACTGAAAATCTCTACAGGATAAATTTGGTGAACCCACTTTCGCTTAACGCTAGCATTCAGTGAGAGCTGTTAAAAATAAAAAATAAAAAATAAATACCAATTTACGAACACACTCTTGACATTCCCATCAACCTATAATCAGTTCTTTGTGCGAGGTCAGTACATTATCATCAGCATGTTAGCTTTGTTCTTGTGAGCTTGTTAGCATGCTGACATTAGCGTTGAGCATAAACAAAGCTAGAGCAGCTCACTGTGTGACTCTTGGCCGTATTGTTCATGGTTCTATTGTATTTAATTTCTGACGTCAAGTAAACAAATACTGTTTTTAAGATGTCTAACCAAGGAAACACTGAATTTATGGTTGTTTTTATCTTAAAAAGGTTCAACCAACTAACTAATAATTAGCTCTCGCAGTCCAGTATAAATTCTGCTTCCAGGATTATTATGTCAAGGCATCACCATTTTACAAAGAGATATTTCTTTATCCTCTTTTTACCTTCCATTATTAAAATAAATATTGAGGGTAAAATGAAGACACCTGTCAGTAGGCCTATAATAAAACAACAGTTCATCAGCACCCACATTTGCCAAAATTGCTGCATTGTCGACTAAACTACTCTGTCAAGAAAAACTGAACATAACATTCAAGAACATTAACATAAAATAACATTATTAGACTGACTAAATGTAAGCTAACTATGCCTTATAAACTGGCGGCTGAGTGTTTATTTCATGGAGTTAAGGTAGGTCACTCAGGATTTCCAGAAACAGCCAGTTATTGCCTTTTAACCTTTTATCCAATCACAGTCTTCCTGTCTTCTTCCATAAGTTATTTACCGTCTACTAAATACATTTCCCCCCCTCTTCCAGTCAACGCTTTTATCCAATCACCATTACTGTACTTCAGTCCTCACCTCAGCTACATGAACTCACTAACACCATCATTCAATTATTATAAAATGTGCGATATATGAGCCAGCGTCAGGTTTTATACCAAATATGGCATCCTGAAAGGCTCAAACAATGAAACAGAGTACTTTGTCGGACCCTGACAGCACTATATTTCATAAATGATCAGCAACATAAAAATAAATAAAAAACAATTAAAGAATGTTGAATCATATGTAAACCGGCTTACCCACAGCAGCAGACATAACTGTTTAATGTTCACAGTCTTTATAATGTTTATTGATCCATTAGTTACATATAATTATCTTTAAACCTTGCTGATTAACAATACTTCACAAATAAAACTGGTACAATTCTTGCCTTATTCCCTACTAAAACAAATTGTAAGAAAACTTGGACAGTTTTCATGGTTTATCTGATTTATTCTCTCATGATCCACTTTGACTTGCAGCATCACAGCAGATGAAAAAAGCCTTACACTGTCAGCCGTGTTCATGTTTTCTCTTTCTATTCGATAACATTTTTGATATGAGGAGATGGTGACAGGCTCTCTTTATATCGATCTTATCTGATGCAGACACATGCATTTCAGAGATACTGTTTATATGTATTTCTGACTGCGCTTCAGACAGCAGAGGGTGCTGTTGAGTTCAAACTGGGATCTGAGACACCAACGATGAGGCAAAAAAAAATACATCTATCCATTTCACAAATGACAGTTTTTTAAAGGGCCTGTATTGCAGGAAAAAAAAATCATTGGGTCAAATCATAAACTGAAACTCCTTACATTCATGAAAGAAAGTATTAACTCCTTGCCAATAGGAGAAGAAAAAAAGTCAATGCATTTTTGCACTGTTGGCCCTTTCTACCATGGAAATAGTTATTTTATGCAGATTATAGAATTAGCATTTAAATGGTATTAAAATAGATAAAATACCCTTGGTTAAAACTGCAATTTCTGCAGCTACACAGTTATTTCAAGCCAGAACCGGAATAAAATTCTAATTACATATTTGAGACTGTGTATGTGGCTACATTTCCATACTTCTGTGTATATCAGACGTGTGTGTGTGTGTGTGTGTGTGTGTGTGTGTGTGTGTGTGTGTGTGTACACCTATGTGTGTAACAAATGGGGGGCAAGACGAGGTGAGCAATAATCAGAAAGACTCGGGACTCACTCTGTAGTAGTCTGTGCTGTAGACGTCTCTGGACATGCCAAAGTCTCCTATCTTGACCAGCAGGTTTTCCCCGACCAGGCAGTTCCTGGTTGCCAAGTCTCTGTGGACAAAGTGCTGGGAGGCCAGGTAGACCATGCCAGCAGCAATCTGTTGGGCAATGTGCAGCATCTGGGACTGAGTGAGCTCCACCAGGATGCTGTGTTGACCGTCTGCCATTAGCACTGCATCAGGACCGTGAGACCTGCACACAGGAACATTTCAACCGAGCTTCAATCGATAGATACCACCGGAACGTTTACAAAATATCATGCATGGAATTGTGTAACAGCTGAATGCACCTGCTGATTGTTTTGTTATACAGTAAATTTCATGGAAATTTAATGAATGAAAGATTTAGAATCAAAACAAATAAGAAAAAGTTTCTGCAACTGACAATTAAGTCATTTTAATACATTTGAATGCAGAAAATGTCAAAGACTCCCCAGACATTGTTCTCAGTTAATTGAGATTTTGATGCTTTTCATTTTAATTACTAACTTGTTTTTTCATTTTTGATATTAAGATAAATGTTTTGGGTTTTGGACTCATTGTCAGATAACATAATACAATTATTTCCCCTGAGAACATTTCAATCTCATAGAATCTCACGAACAGACACCCTACATGTGTAAATAATTGAGAAGTCCAAATAATTGTACCTTAGGAACTTGTTTAGGTCCCCATGTTTCATGTATTCAAACACCATGATGAGCGGGTCGCTCTCCACGCAGACTCCGTAGAAAGTGACGATGTGGTCGTGTTGCAGGTTTGTGAGGAGCTCGGCCTCTCTGTAGAAGTCTGCTCGGCCGCTCTCGTTAGCCTCTTTAAGAGTCTGAAGAAAGACAAAAACACAATGCTTAATATAGCCACAGTGAGAGCCATTATTATTATTCTCTTTTACATGAGCGTCCTGGCCAAGACCGGCAGCAGCACTATTTACTGGATTTGAGACGTAGAACACTTAACAATAATGAACATAAATAAAGGACTCACAAAATATAAGAAACATTCATCAAAGTGTGTCATAAATCATCAACAACAAGGGATCAAAAAGGGGCAATATTAGTTAGTTAATACATCTACAGCCAGATATGCCTGCCTCCAGATCATTAGGTAGTCCTTTAAAAACAACAACATTTCTAATCATGTACATGTAGAGGTCAATACTAAATGACAACGGCGAACAGCTTCCTGGTCTGTACCTTGACCGCCACATGGAGCTTCTCCTGGTCTGGTACCAGGTTGTAGCACTCAGCCAGAAACACTTTCCCGAAGGCTCCCTCTCCCAGCTCCCGCTTCAGCACGATGTTGTGTCTCTTGATGTGCTGGACAACTTTGATACAGAGTAAGATAAAATTAGTATCAAGGCCATCATGTGGGCATCTGGCTTTTTGTTGTTGTTTGCAAAATGTAAGAGGAGTGATTTTAAGATTTTCAGTAAATTATAGTTAAAACTCCTAGAAACGTAGCCATAACTAAAGACATTGTTTATCATCAATCTGCTTGATTTGGAAATTGATGTCTATAAAATGACCTTAATACAAATGGTCGATGATATTTTTCATTTAATTAGCTTTAATTCATCACAAATTAAGATTCCTCAAAAGTTACATGAACTCAACATTGATCCTGCTGAGTTTAGACCTCCATAAATAAACTTTTGTTTCTTAGCATCAGCTGTGCGTTTAATGCTCAGGAGTCACTATCACAAAGCAGGAAAGATGCTGACAATAAATACGGCGTCCAGCGGTGACCCCTGCATGGATTTATCAGAAAAGCTCCAGGTTACATGTCATTTGTCGAGCGAGCCGGTAACTCACACGTGTCGGATTTCAGCATGCTGCCCGAGTTACGGAAGTACTGCGGGTTCTCGATGACAGGAATCTTTGTCATACCGATGATCACCGCGTCTGGACCCATCTCCGAGGACGACGGGGTGTTGTTGCCATTGGAGACGTGATGAAGAGGGCTGGCGGAGTCATCATCATTACTGATGACTGAGGAGGAGCCTAGGGAGCAGCAGAGGAGAGGAGATGAGAGGAGAGAGAAAGGAGGCGGAGAGGAGGGACGACACAGGGAAGACGCATGAAGGGAACGAAGAATTATGGGAATGGAGGAGAAAGGTAAGAGACAGAAGAACCTGTTAATACAGTCTTTATGTTTACAGACAAAAAAAGGTGTTTGAAATTACTGTAACCATTGTATCAGGGATAGAGTTGAAACTAAAATATGCTTTGAGTCAACAGTAAGACTTTAATTCAACGATTTAAGCGGCCATAACAAATATATGATAGAAGAATTGACCTCTAATAAAACTAAGTTTTTTTTTTTTTTTTTAAATAAGCAAAGTCTTCATACTGAAAAATGTGTTTAAACACGTTAAATAAATGTGTTCAAACTTTTTTAATATTGCTTCAAAACCCACAGTAAGGATTGGTATGATATGTTATCAGAAAGCTAGGTCATACAAACTAAGCCACGCTCTCTGCCTGCATGTGCTTGGTTGGTTTGGCTTCCTGGTTTGTCAGCCAATAGGCAGAGTCAGAAAGGACATCAGTTAACTGGATACATGTGAGTTCATAAGGCCTCATCTTATTGAAGTGGCTTCCCCTCCTAAATCTCCCTCTCCTCTCTCTCTCCCAGGCCTCCACCAGCTGCTTTGGTTTTGTTGCATTTCACAACAAACACTTCACTCCTCCATACACTGTGTTCATGACTGATTTATCAACCTGCATAGTTATGATTGTTTTAAAGGTCGCATATTATGCAAAATACACTCTACCATGGTTTTCTATTATCGACATGTGTCCCTAGCATGTCTACAAAATCCCCAAATTATGAGGAGAGTCCATCCTCTCAGTCTTTTGCCTGCTCCGGTTTTCAGAAAAATCTGTCCTCAAACCGGCCGTTTGGTGACATCACAAAGGGAAGTAACCCCTCCCCCAGCTGGGCGACCCTCCTACAGCTAGATGTTTGTTCTTCCCTCTGAGCCTGCCTTTCAACCGTAAACAATAGAGCATGGTGCAAGAGAGTCCAGGCCACACAAGCTGTTCTTAAGGGGCGTGGTCAGACGCAGCTCATTTGTATTTTAAAGCTATAGCCACAGAAACAGCCTGTTCTGAGCAAGGCTGAAATAGAGGGTTTTAAATGCATGATAAAATACTTTTTATTTTTGACAAGATGTTTCACAGAAATGTGATAGAAATAGGTAGACATCTCTGTTTGTTTAGTAATTTTCTCTTTAATGTAAGATGAGATTGATACTAACACGAGGCTTCAGCCAGAGACAGTTACATAAGCTTACATGAGAGTGGGAATACTTCTTCTCTTCTATCTCTGGTTATGAAATTAAATAAATACTTTTTTCTCCAAAATACTTTTCAGAAAATAATTCACCTTTAATTCCAAACTTGGAGTTTCTTCCGTATTTCAGTATGATCACCATCAGAACGCAGATGGTCAGGACAACACCTATGATCCCCATCACCACGTACACCTGGACGATCAAAAAAACACAAAGGGCAGTGTTTGAAACATGCTACCTTTAAAATATGCTTACCTCCTCAAACTTACTCTCATCTTTTTGAGGATTTTCAAGATTATTCTAGGCCACATTGTAATCATTGTTCAAACTAAACAAGGGGGAAAAGTCCATCTCTAGTTACACTGCTACTGTAGCCATATACAGGGGAGCAGCAAGTCACAAACCAAAACACTGTACATTTAATACAAAGGACTGGCGAGGATCACTTACTGCAACACTGTCATCCATTGGAGGGAGCGGTGAGTCTGAAACAAAAACAAAAATTCTTCTCTTAACATGTAAATAATTCATGTTGAACTGCAGACTAGTAGTTTGGTACAATTTCAACCTACATGTAGTATACTAGAATATTCTTCATTATGCTTCAGCTCCTACAGTTTTGAAGTCAGTCTTGTAGTTTTTATTGCCGCCTGGAGTTGTTTGACCGCAGACATTACTTTAGAGAGTCAGATGTCAATACAATATAATCTAATGTATGATGGTGGTATATGTTAGTATAGCTAGCAGTATATAAAGCAGTTTTAATAATCTCCAGCACAAGCAGCTAGAAGCTGAAGTAAGTGATGCTTGCACATTATGGATTGCTAATTTATTTCAGTGACTCATTCTGCGTGATAAGAACTTCTATTTTAAAATGTTTGACTACTATATGCCAAATTACTTTCCATATAATCATATTTATCATGTTCATGACCGTCATGTGCAATATAGCTTTACTTCACCATTTAGTATTCTGGGTGTGACATTGACATAAACAGCATATAAACAGAGCTCCAGTCTGTGTCGGCTGCCAATAATCCCATATCCCACTTATCTTACTCTCTTACTTAACTTATTATACCTCGATTTATTCTTTTTAGGCCCAGTTTATTTAAATCTCACTCTCATCCACTTAATACTTTATAATACACTTCATGTTTTTCTTGTGTTTCACTTATATGTGATGCTCTTTCGGTGACTCTTTTTGGGAGCAACCTGGCGTAAGGATCTCCGTTAATTAATAAAGTTATATTTTTATCTTAACTCATCTTATGCTATCGTTTTGTTTAAATAGAAGTTCTGAGGAATCTCTGTGAGTTTAAACACCTACCAGTCGTGTCTGAGCAGAAGCAGGATGCATTCACAGGCCATAGGAGGGGAAAAAAAGATCCAAGGTTTAATATTCTGATAAAAAACTGTTTTTATCGTGCATTTAGGTACAACAATTATTGGTTTAATAAAGCTGAGTCATTACTTACAGTAGTAGAAGTGGTCTTCAGCTACAAAGGAAAAACATGTGCATGTTAGTATTCATAAACAAAATGTATCCTTAGAAAAAAAAAAGGAGACAACGAGAGACAGCATCTTGACACCTGTGTGGCCAATGTCGGGCGGGTCGATGAACTGCGCAGACACCTTCTTCTCGTCGCGGCCGTACTTATTCTTGGCCACCAGCCTGTACACGCCGTTGTGGATGTGGGTAGGGTTGACCAGCTGCAGGCAGCCGTGGTACTCGCCCTCGGTGAAGAGGTGGATCATGGTGTGGATGAAGTCCTGCTCTTGGAGGGCCACATTCTCGTGGTACCACTGCAGGTCGGGCTTGGGGTTCCCGGTCACGGTGAAGGGGATGCACCAGTGGTGGTCCCGCTCGGGCGCGACAGCTGCTGGATGATGGGGGCAACTGACACGGAGGCGACAGGAGAGGAAGAGTAATAACGGGATGACAGGAAGTCAACACCAAAAAAAAGGCAGCGGGAAAAAGCTACACTCAAGGGGTAAGAGAAAGGGGCGTGTCCTGGGGGTGTGTCCAGACTTCTTGAGCTGTAACCAGTCCAAAATCTACCTGAACCAGTTACTTTAAGGTATCATATAGGTTCAATTTTAAAAAAAATCTCAAACAAGAACACAAAAAGATACAACATATATGTAAATCTTCTATTCTTGATAATTGATGGACTCAAAAGAAAATGCATCTCCAAAAGCCCCCAACTAAAAAAAAAACAACTTACAACAGCAGAAAATGTTTTATATGGAAATGCCACAAAAGTGATGAGCAGCCTGTTGCGGCACAGCCCAATAAATAAGTGTGAAGAAAAGTCCCAAGAAGCCAATTTTGATCTACAAGTTTAAAATTTCAGGGGGGGCCCAAGCCACCCCAGGCCACCCCCCTGGACTAGCCCCTGGTTAGAGAAGAGAAGCAGTTTGGGGCTGACTGGGAGGACAGACTGATCACAGAACATTTGATCACTGACTTTAGGAAACATGTAATGTGGTTGTAAACAAGCGGAGGAGTGAGGTGAGCCATGAGGAGCTTCACAGGAGGAAGAGTTATGGACAGGAAACATGGAGAGTCAATAAGATTTGCCAAGAGACAGTAATGATAACAAAGTAACAAGCCTCGCGCTTCCACTAGAAGAAAAAATAAAAACAACGTCTAGAAGGCGGCGTTCAAACGACTATCAGAGGAAATAAACTTAGAGATGTAATTAGAAACGTACATTCTATAGTTGTTCAACATTTACAGTCGACAATAAGAGAAAAAGTACGAGTTTCTTACAGAGAATATTGAGCTGCAGCGTAGCCTCGGTCAGACCAACCATGTTCTCAGCGCTGCATACGATCACCCTGCCATTATCATCAGGAGACAGGTCTGACAGAGTGATTCTGCTCTCCATATCCGACGGCTCGATCTGTAAACAACATTATTATTTGCATTATTAGCCTGTGTGTGTGTGTGTGTGTGTGTGTGTGTGTGTGTGTGCAGTCTGTGAGAAGCTGTTCTTTATGTAACCAGTTAGCTACATGTAACATCCTGCTGCCTGCACAGTTTTATGTTGCTTTAAATTTATGTTTCATCTTTACTCAGAGGAGAAAATATTGTACTTTTTAATCCACTACATTTGTTTTGTATCAGCTCAGACTCAGAAGAATAAAGCAAAATACAATTGATAATAATACGAGGATGTATTTTTTAGGTTAATTTTGGGGCTTTTTATGCCAGGACAGTGGACAGAGAGGGAAATCAAGGAGAGAGGGGGAATGATATGCAGAAAGGAAGCCACAGGTCGGATTCGAACCCAGGCTGCCCGCTTAGAAGTTTGTAACCTCTGTAGGTGAGGAGAAAGAACTAACCCTCAAGTCACCGGTGCCCCAGAATGTTATTTTTTTAACATTAAATTTAATTGACTATTCAGAGAAAATTAAAGCTAATCAGCAAATATTCAGTAAAAAGAGCTTTTTTATCACTTTTAAATTAAAATAAAGTGCTGGTAATACAGTATATAACATTCTTGGTAATGAATGATGGGTAATTCTTCATACTGCGCATATTGGCTTTATGTATTTAAAGTATATAACTTTATAGTACTTTTTTTTTTATTTGAGAATAATCTGAGAATTTCTTCCACTTCTAGCTGTAAGAAATGTTCACCACCAAAAGATAGTTGGAGGTAAAACTCATCATCTCATCTGTCTTCTTCTTTTTGTTATTATCAACAAATCCTTCAAAAGACAGAAAGCCAACAAGGTGTTTAGTTTCTCTCTATTCTCTCAGTCTTTCCTCATGTGCTGTGGGAGATGTGGTTCCAGTTCCTATCGTTGGGTATAAATATTTACACTTTTTTTTTATAAAGAGGCAGAATGTTATAATGGAAATTAAACGAGTAAGTAGACATTTTAAATTAGAACAATTTGTTTTTCGGATTTGGCCCTTTTTTATTTTTTATAAATTGATGATAAGGAAAATAAAAAATATCACCCAACATGTCCGTCAGTCATGTTTAGGTCAAGTCTGGAGCTACTCTCCGACACACATACAGGAATACTATCAAGTAAGCCAGAAAATATACTACACACAGTTTATTTAAACTTTCACACATTATAACACAAACACACGTTTTACAGCCAGAGAGCGTTTTTGTGAATTTTGTTGATGTGTTCTGTTTGGATTGAGATTGCTTGATGTCCTTTGTCTTAAATATACACACACATAAAATAACCAGTAACTTGAAATGATACATTTCTTTTATTTTTGGTTAAAGTGTATTCTGCATATCCCAATTCAGTACGTCCAATTTCGTCGGCCAACAATACCAGGAGGAACTTGTAACAATTTGCAATATGTAAGCTAGCAGGCTTTTTTTTTGGCTATTTTTACCCACAATCCTCTGCAAAACTTGTCCACGTGGACTGAGCTGCCCTGCGTCTCACTGGCGAGCGGGATTTTATGCCTCCACAGGAAATTTTTGCAAACAAAGTTTAAAATGATCTCTAGGGACCACAACCAATGTTTGAGTAGTTCCGTTTTCATCTCCACACATCCGTTATGTTGTCTGACGCCGTGTTATATCTGCCATGCATGAAATAGAATGATGGGTACTCAAAGGAATTATCTTTTCTAGGTGTTATAGTCCCTTTCAGTCACGCTGGGATCAGTCTCAAGGTGAGGATTACCATGCGTATCTATGAAAATAAATAATATTTGAAATACTCTCTGTAAACCAGCATGTGTCAGAGGTATGCATTTTGCATGTACAGTTTGCACATCCTCAGGATAACTGCAACACACTACAGTAAAAAGAGAAAATATGCAGTTTTGAAGGCTTGGTAGGTCTGGAGTCTACAGCTCTGTCATGACCTTCATCACATTGTAGTTCATAGCTAACTCTGAAACTCAGACGGAGCTAAGAAAATGTTTCACGCGAAGGCATCCAATTTTTTTTTCAGATAACTTATGGTTCCCTGTATTTAAAAAGTAAGCAGTTATGAAATATCACTAATTCAGAGTTGGGGAACCTGTGCCAAAGGTGTAAACCGGACTCTGTGTGGTGGACGGGCTCACCTCGTGCTGTGTAGAGAGCATGTCGAGGTTCCACAGGATCTCGGGAGGAGGCGAGCCTGAGGCGCTGCAAACAGCTTCCACGTTACTCCCCTGCATCAAATTCACGCTCCTCGGGGTGACCTCTACTCTGGGAACCTCTGCGAAACACGAGAAATCAGCCCAAGTGAACATCTGAGCAGAACTTTACATTGATTTTGTTTGTTTCCGGCTCTCTTTCCTGTCTACAGGAAGCGATCGCTCTCCAAATCAATTAATAGCATCAATATCCGATTTCCACGCTGTTGCTTATTATAACATGGTTTCACGTTACCGCAGTCGGGTGGGTTGAGTGCGGCGAAGGCTAGTGTCACTCCTCTGTCGTCCGTGCATCTCAGATCTGGACTGTCGCTTTCCTCCAGGAGCCGCAGTTTGATCCACAAGTTCTCACAAACACAATCCAGAGGGTTCCCGTACAGCAGGAGCCTTAAAAATATTTATAAAAAAAACACACAAACACGTGAGAAACACTTTTTTTTTTGTCTTTTTAAGCAACAATCTTAAAATGTTTTTAAGCAAAACTTACGGTAAAGATGCGTTAAAGTTTTGAAATGTCCTCCATGAAAGCGTTGATAGGTTATTATCTCTGAGATTTCTAAAAGTAAAAACAGAAAGCATAATTTAGATTTAAAGAAAAACAGCCACTTGTGAATGAAATAACTCACTGAGGGTTTTTTTAAAAATGCATCTTACACATATTGGAGTCTTGTGTTGTTGAAAAAAGCGTCTGATGTTATAGACGACAACCTCGTATTCATCACTGTTCTGTTGGAGGGTGACATGTGGAGTAATCAGTTAATCCACTGCTTTAATAAAAAAAAGATTCTGTGATTTCATTGAAAGCGTTCGTCATGATACTTACAGGTTTCTGAGGTTGATGTAGTGCCTCAGACTGTTGTCATTGATGTCAAACAGTCTGTTTTGATTTGCAATGTATCTGTGAAGGAAATATGAAAGACAAGTTAGGAAACACATGCGCAACGTTCATTTAATGTGAATTTTGAAGCTGCTGATGGAATTTTGAAGCCGCTGACCTGTTCAGAAACAAGTGTTTGAGACCCATTTTTCTGTGTTCTATTCTCTTTTTTTTTTTAAAGGTTTTTGCACATTCAACTATTTCATGAAGTAGGTGCATAGGACATCAAACTATCACTTTGAACTACTTTTGCAAGGCATCACCAATAATCAGAAAAAATGACTCGACAAAGGTTTCCAGATCCAGAAACGTTGTGTTTTTCCCCCCTAATAAATCAGTGATATCTGGCAAGAGTAGTGTGCTGGATTTTTGTCTTTCCCGTGTGTGTGTTCTATTCTAATATATGAATCAACTTAACTCAACACCATGACATGTTAAACAAGTCAGCTCAACTTTAACATCAACTTCTGTCACAACATCTAAAATCCAGACGCTCATGTGAGACATATTGTGTTCTGAATGGTTGCTGATATTATTCACATTAAATGTATTTCTTAAAATATCTCAGAAAATCGTTTCAAATCTACGTGTTTTAAGTGGCATAAAGGATGCCACTACATTTAATTCATAACATATCTGATAATGTGCTGAATAAGGTAGGACATATTCAGCACTCAGGATATATTTGAAATGATGAAACTAAAAGAAAACACACAAATCAAAACTTTGAATCTTTTTTTTTTTTTTTAATCGAGGCTACTACTTCACACAACTTTTCAAGGTATGAGCCGATTTTTTATGAAATCTCTGAAGTTAAAAGAAACATTTTTACTTTATAATTTCAGGTGTATCATTGAAGAGCCAGTTTTCAATAGAAGAAAGATCATCGAAAATCATGTCAGTAAATTGCCGAAGTAAATACATCTCAGGAGAGAGCGACTAATCAGATGGAGTTGTTGTCTGGTGTGTTTAATCCATTTAAAATGACTGAAAGATATTTGAAATATTGAGGCTGAGCACTCACATTGGTCTACATGTGGATTGTAGTTTTGGCAACACAAAGCTATGAGTTGAAGCATCTTTAAGGGTTGACAGGGTCAGCACTGCTTCTGGAGTTATTCCCGAGGAACTAAATAGCATAAAGGTTTTCTTTTACATTTCTGGCTACATTTTTTTGGAAGCTAAAATCCTAAAAGTCTTCACTGAAGTTGTCTTTTCTGTGATATTGTCTTTTCAAAAGGTGATAACTGCTGGATTTAATCGTCAGAACTGCATTATCCCCCCGAAAAGAAGACTAAAATTGAGGGAAGCCGCTGCAGCGCTTGTATAAATGGCAAGATAATCCTGTTAAGATCCACAAAAACAGTAGAACTACAGTCCTGATGGGTATGTGGCACCCAGCTCCAGCCTGTCTGCCTCGGAAAGCTCACCCACCAGTCTCCTTTCCATGCTCATGTGGGTGCCATGCAGTTGTATATACATTGTGCAGGGTTGTAGCAGGTACACACCGACACACACAAGCCTACACACTGACGCAGATACGTCTGAATACACAACTTTCTCCAGCAGTGTGATTTCATGTGTAATGTGATTTTGTTTTTTTTACATTGTTTGTGTGTGTGTGTGTGTGTGTGTGTGTGACTCCACACCGACGCCCTGACGATGAAGACGCCGAATTAACACCTTCGAGGCTGCGCACGGCCTCAACATTTTTACTCCATCACCACTACACCTCTGGAGCTGTTTTTGTAAAGGAAACACCGACTAATCCAAATCAGCCTGACGCGCACTCTCCCCACCATTACGCACACACACACGCGCGCACACGCTGTCGTCGTTAGTGGCACATAGACACACAGACACACGCGCGCACATAAACTAGCGTACATGATCTGGCGAAGCCAAAATGAGAAGAAAATTGCACATTTTAGCGTTTGACATTTGGCGCACAACACGGATCTTTGTCAATCTTTAATCCGCACGCGGGAATAAACACAGGCCTGACGTTATAGATAATTCTTTAGGCTACATGTTAGTATCACCTTTATTATTAGAATAATCGCAGCCCTTGGGTATTATTGTGACATAAGATCTTCTTGCATAGCATCCTAATAAGTTCTTACGCTGTCATTTTTTTCATACACTTACATCTCCGTGATGTTTTCCATGTCATCTAACGTGAGCACGGGGAAATCCTCGAGCCCCGGCACGGAATCAATACAAACAATCCTTGAGATGCTGCAAGTGCATGATGCGGGGCAAGCGTCGCTAAATCTCCACATCAGCCCCGTGAAAAAAACCAAAAACAATCCGAGACGAGCCATGCCATATTCCCCCGCGCTGGAGTCCATCGCAGGTCCACTGAAATCCCACCAAAACAGAATCTCAATGCTCAAATTGGATTATTGGTCAGATTTCCTCCCCTCTCTGAATGTAAATCTGGCCAAGTTAATCCGCAGAAGGAGGGGGGGAAAAAAGACGGCGAGGAATGCGCAGAGCCCACGGTTTTAATATCAAGATGCCATGGACTGGCCTTCCCGTCTCCGCAGAGCTGCTATCACACTACTGCATATCGATGTCGTGAAGCAAAGGTGTCAAGTGCTCCGTCCTGCTGCTGCTGCTGCTGCTGCTGCTGATGTCTCCCTCCTCTTCCTCGGCCACAAACGCCCCTGCCTTGTAAAAACAAATACGGGCTTCTTCCAGATGTTTAAAGATGAAAAGCAAAAGGGCCCACCACCACGAGCGGGTTTTCTCTCCTCAGTGTGGCGATGGGGAGGAAAATAAGAGAGAGCGCACAGTGGAGTAAAGGATGCGTGGTGATGCTGCTGCGTGTGTAGGGAGGAAGGCTACCTGCATGCGTCTATCGATTAACGCCGAGGACGAGCGCATGTCCCCCTCACACAGCCAGCACTTGGATCAGGTTTATGGGCGACTTACACTGCGAGATATACCCACGACAAATTGTATTTAAAGGACAGTATAAAGAATCATGCATGAAAATCCTAAAACAATGCTGCAGGCTTGTCAGGCTTCACGATCTGGAAGTTTGAGTCAAATTATGTTTGCGAATAGAAAAAACAACAACAACTATGCATTTCAAACTCTTGTGTTGCATGCATTGGGTGAGAGCATTTCGCGTTTTTTTCTTTTCTTTTCTCCTCCATCCACACCAGCACTGTTGTTGTACGGCTGGCCATTAGGCCTATAGTGTGACGTACGGTTGACGCACAAGACGGGGTGCATCTATGAAAAATAATTACCTATACTATGTCTGCGAGCTTCAAATGGGTGGCAGTCCAATCACTGATCAGTGGAGGCTATAGGAGCAAAAGCCGCGAGGAAAAAAAAAAAGGACAATTTTCAACATTTTTAAATGATTCTTCCTTTAGGAAAACATTATATTGTGAAATAACTGTTTCTACACTAACTTCTGCACACACGCACGCACGCACACACACACACACACACACACACACAAATTACAAACAAACACTGGAATCACTTGTAAAGTTTTTGTAAGCACAGAAGGGAAATACAATGGAAAATAGGTTTAAGTATTTGAAATCTGACCTGCACTTTCAATTAACATAATTGGGAATCTAATACACATTGTTTCCCCCCCCTCTATGCTTCATAATAAGACAATAGGGTAATGTCATATTGCATTTTTCAGTCCTTATACACTGAACAATAAGGTGCTAATTCCCTCAAAAGGGTCAAATAAATCCTGTTTACCAGCAGATTCCTAAATTTCAGCCATAACGAGAAGGCACACTCGGCTAGGACACATGATCTATGACACAGCCTGGATGGTTAGTGTCGCTATGGTGACTTGCTTTTTACAAATAGCGCTGACAATGTCAAGTGTCGCTATGGTTGCAGATGAAAATAGGAACGCAGTCTTCCCTTTTTTTTTAATTTTTTTATGAGAAACATCAAGAACTGAATTATATCTGTCTCCATGGTAACCACAAATAAATCCTGTTTACCAGCAGATTCCTAAATTTCAGCCATAATGAGAAGGCACACTCGGCTAGGACACATGATCTATGACACAGCCTAGATGGTTAGTGTCGCTATGGTGACTTGCTTTTTACAAATAGCGCTGACAATGTCAAGTGTCGCTATGGTTGCAGATGAAAATATGAACGCAGTCTTCCCTTTTTTTTTCTTTTCTTTTTTTATGAGAAACATCAAGAACTGAATTATATCTGTCTCCATGGTAACCACAGAGTATAGCAGAGGGAAGAGAGCTCTTTATTTTGATCCTCGACTATATCTGAAGGAGCATGACAACACTACGAGAAAACGGGGGGTGTTTAAAATAGATGGTGTGTGGACATAATCCTGGATCCTGATTTATGACAAATGGGCGTTAAGGAAGTGGTTAGTTTTTTATTTTAGCATAAAAGTTAGTTGCCCTATATGAAGAAAATGTACAGCAGTTATAGGTATTTAAAGTCAATTATCATATATAACAAAGGTCATAAGATATTCATGAATTTTGCTGTTTATTTCACAACATTCAGAAATTAATTGAGAATTGCAAGCTGAATTTAAGACAAATAGTCGTCAGTTTCAGATTTGATAATCTTGTTGCATTTGTTGTTGCTTGAAGCCGACATGGTGTTCTTTCAGTTTGGAAGAGGACTTTGAATTTTGCAAATTGCACCAACAAAAAAAAGTAAGATACGCTTTGGCTGAGCTATTAAGGAACTTTAAGGCATGTCTGACTTTGAGCTCATCCTCTTTTACACTTAAACTTACATTTCTGCATCATCCAACTGTGTCACTCCAACACCTCTGCTCCCTCCTCCTCCTCCTCCTCCTCCTCCTCCTCCTGAACCAGCTGGTGGCAGACTTGTCTTGAACCTTGCGAGCAGTGATGCAACTGAGGCTCAGCCTGATGATTTACATGCTCTACTATCTGCTGTCTCTTCGCCTATGGATTAAGTGTGCACATTAAACTAATTTTACCTGAGTGAATGCACCCGATAGTTATTTTTAAGGGAGACAACAAATCGGGTGTGTTTATTTCATACCAAATTGAGAGATTGTGCAGTGTTATACGTTGTTAGATGTAACTGATCAGTTACTTATTTATGCTAGTTTATTGCCTACATTTTCAGTCACCACATTAGTAAAAATGTTTTTAATCACCGACTTTCAGACTCACTGTCTCCCATGTGCATCATAAAGACAAGTATATAGATCAATTTCAACTTACTTTTGCTGAGTGCATGCTCGTTTGGTGATGAATCCAACCCTCCATTTCCTTCTTCATCTCCTTTTCTGTGAAGATAGAAACTTTACTTAAGTAAAAACACTAAAACCACATTTAAAGTTGTATTAAAATACTCCACTAATACTAGAAGGCATTCAAAATCAATCTGAACAATTGTATTAAAAGCAAAATGTACAGAAAGTATTAAAAGTTAAAGTTTTCATTTTGCAGAAATTCTGCAAATTGTTATAAACAGCTATAATGTTTGTGGATAAACATATCTGCTGAATATATGATAGGGTAAAATTCCTCCTTGCATCCTTAGCGTCACGATGTGCAGATGGACCAAGAACAACAGAGATCATGGGTGTGGAGCTGCAACTCAGGGTTACTTTTGCTGCCAATTGCTTTATCAGATTATTAAGTGTCATGACTAAACTACAAGGTTTTAGAACCAACAAGTCTTGTATGTTCATCATGGAGGCATGATATTATATAGATCAAAAATAAATAGGCTAGAATACACATTGATAGATTTGGGCAAAAAATCGAGCTGAGTTGCCTGAGACAAATCCTGAGCTGCATATATCAAACTGTATTTTACACCTGTATATTTGCACACTTGACTACTTTTTTATAATAATTCTTTATTTATCTATCATACTATGCACTGGCAGAGCTAGTATTTTGTACTGTTATCTATGAGTAACAGCTAACAGCACATGGACCATCCATACCACTTTTTTTTTATCCTGGCTATGTATTGTGGGCTCATGTTTTTTGTATGGATGTGCATGTATAAATGTGTTGTGTTGTATGTTGTATGTATGGTGGCTGCTGGAACACCTACATTTCCCTGCTGGGATGAATAAAGTATATCTTATCTTATCTTTATCTAACAGTTTGGTTTCTTTTTTTTAAACTTTGAAATCATAAATAGGCTATATCAGTAGTTTTAAAGTTCCAAATAACGTTCAAACTAAACTTACCTAAAACTAAAAGTCATCACAAGAAGAAACCAACATGCCCACTGCCCAGCCATGCCGCGGTTCACGGTGGGCGTGTCAGTCGTAGGGGGCGGGGTTGTTGCCCGAGAGGAACAGCTTTACCTGCCAGCCTTTACTTGGGTTGTAAAAACCCAAGCTTCTCACGGAGCGTTTGAGAAAATCGCCCTCTGCGTCCCAATGAGTTCGTCGTTCCCTTCAGTCAGCTGAGCGCGCCTCGGCTCCGCTCGCCTGTGCCGACTCGGTGACTGTAAGAAACGCACACAAAGTCTGAGACGTCGACGAATCATGCTCGACCTCAGTGTCTTCCTTCCATGCTGAAAGACCCTGCACACGTTTCTGGGCGAGGAATCCGTGGACGACCGCAGTCAACGCGGTGTTTCTGCAGGTTTGTTTTCCAAACTCTTGTTTTGTGTCACCTTGAATTACAAACCACGCGTCATTTCGCCCGTCTGCTTGTTACCGTGCGTATAATTACATCCACCACCGCTGACATTGCGTGAACAGCTGTTTTTTTTTTTTTTTCTTGCATGTGGATATTTTACAGTCGCAACGTGTAAGCTGTGGCTGCTTTAAGACACGCCTCATGAAAACATACAGACAGTGTTATTGGCTAGTTTAGCAGAGAGCTTTATCGCGAAGCTAAAGCAATGTCAATTCCAGACAGCTAATTGGTGTTTTGAGCAGGTTGACAGGCCCCCAGGTGACAAACGCCTTCTCTTCTTTAACGCGTCCGGATTTGCGCAGTTTCCTTTCCACGTTGTTGTAAGGTATCTGTTTCTGATTTAACGTGAGGTTAAATTGAGTGAACCAGGCTACGCAGCAGCAATTTAAATGCGTAATAATAGCTGTCTCTGCAAATGCTCATGTGTGCACATTATACAAATGCACCTTCAGCATTAATGTGCTTTTTCTGCAAAAAAAAAAAAAATGTAATTACATTGGGGTAGAAGTGACCTCTCTTAAAAAAAAAAACAACAACAACAGAAGTCAACAGTTTTGCTACTTATTCCATATTAACATACATCTCTATACAACTTAGCAAGGCCACAGCACAGAGGTGATGCTTGCAGAAGTCCACACTGTTTAAGCAGTATGCAACTGGTATTAGTGGGCGGTGCAGGTGGGTGGATGCATGCAGTGGAGCTCCTGTGGGATACTTACAAGAATCATATTTGCAGTTTTAAGTACATCCCGGATTCTGACTAATCTACATAGTGGGACTGTATGCTGCTACATGCATTCATGCATTATTTGTTTTCATTAGGCCTTATTTTTCAGCTGCTACAATTAAAGGTGAAATGACATTTTGTTGCTCATCAGAAAAATCGTATCATGTTGTAGTCTGTTGATGATTTTAAAACTCGGCTCACACGTTTTTTAATGGCTAATTTTGCAGTGTGTAAATGTTTCACTGCATAGTATTTTATCGTCATCACGTAATTGTTCTTTTAGTGTGTATTGTGGTGTTGTGTTTTGTTTAACATGATCTCGTCCTCCTCCTCCTCCTCCTCCTTCTTCTTCACCTTCTGGACTGTTGTTTGTCTCTTTTTCTCATGTCTGTGCTTTCTTTTTTGGGTTTGTCTTATGTTTCTTTTTTTTTTTGCTACTGCCATTTTGGCCAGGCCTTGCTCGAAAAAGAGGTCATTTGATCTCAAGCAGTTCTTGCCTGGTAAAATAAAGGTAAATAAAAAAAAATAGTCCACTGAGTATTTCTGTCAAGTTCTGTGTGTTTTTGTGACCACAACTCTGCCCAAGCTTGAAAAACTGCTTGATCAACTGCTGAAGGATGCAAAGGACAACTCAGTTCTTCTTATTCTTTGATTTTTATTTTCTTGAAGATGGTTTTGGGTTTGATGGTTTCAATGGACGTAAACAGAATGATGGAATATGAGGGAATGGAATGGCTGTTTTTTATTTTATTTTATGAAGATGGCATATTTAATTTGTTTCCATATTTTTTTATTACATATTACAGCCGAGCAATTGGTCGGATATAAATTCAAGAAAAAAGTTGAGGGATCAGCCAATAATAGGAAAACTCTTTCTCCTCATTCTCAATAGACGTGTCCTTGCATTTGTTAATGAAGTGAGGCTGATTGTGCAAACCCCCCCCCCCCCCCTCCTTTTAGCAGATCCAGAGAGAGGAGCCTGTTTGCATCCCTCTGCAGGTGCAAGACAATGGAGGTGAAAATCGATCAGCAAGAAGAAGACATCACATTCAGCAACACTGACACTAATGGTAACACCACTAGGAAAAAAATGTGTCAATATATATATATATATATATATATATATATATATATAAAATGGTCAACACAATGTAAACTGCATTAATGAATGTATTTAGTATGAAATTAACAGTCTGCGCAGTGTACAGCCATGCCATGTTAAAATTCAGTGTGAACATACATATACCTGCTAATATTTCACTCAAGGGAAGACTAAAAGAAAAAAACAGAGCATTTCTGGCTGCTTCTACATAGCATGTGGACATGTCAGATGGTTGAGGGACACTCCTGTCCAAGATACTGCTGTTCAGGGGACCCTAGCAGATATGCCCTTATCTTAATCCAGGAAGGGTACATGGTGGTGCTGGTCTAATTCCAGGAAACATTTGGCTGCAGTAAATCAGCAACCACCATGTTTTTTTACTTTTTTTATTTTAATTTGTGTCACTGTTTAACTCAGTAGTGGTTATTAATGATGATTTTATTCTAAATATTGGTGTGATTAAGCTTAAAAAAAATCCACACAATATATTTTAAGTATTTACATCTATGTGAAAATAAATATATCATAATCTGATCATTTAACATGAGCAGACGTTAACGTTTTGTTATGTTACTTTCATGTGTTAAAAATCTGTACGACTAAAAGAATTGTGTGTATTTGTAAGCTGTGCTACTGTTAACCCCTTGCTACATTCATACCATGTGTTGGATTATTACATAATGATGTCCTGGATAACTGCAAAGGATGGACGCCTTAGCTTTCTGTTGCAAAAATAATTAATGATTTATTATTTGTCATACTTACTTAATGACTTAATACTTAATGATTAAAGGATGGCCATGATATAAATGTTGTCCTGTACTGGGGATGCCAAAGTTGGAAATAGTTGAATTCTGCAGACTGCAGTAACAGGAATTATAAAAGGCATGTTTTGTTATGTAATCTTTGTACAGAGTTATTGCCAGGCTCAGATTTGACCTCCCGTGTCTTCCTCTCAGGTAAACGGCCAGCTGAAGACATGGACGAGGAACAGGCCTTCAAACGCTCTCGCAACACAGACGAGATGGTGGAGCTGCGTGTGCTGCTTCAGAGCAAAGTAAAAAGAAGGGGGAAAAAAAAAAAAAACACCACACAACGGGCTAAATGAGTAACCAGACAGAATCCTTTCTAAGAAAAATCATCTTTGTGCTACAGAATGCTGGTGCCGTAATCGGAAAGGGGGGAAAGAACATAAAAGCTCTACGCACAGACGTAAGTAAACAGACAAGTTCGGAAAATACTTTGTTGGGATATTTTGCAAATTCCTCGAACCCTCCTATCAATTAAATTTTCACTCAGACACGCTAAGATTTCTTGTCAGAAAGGTTTGACGTTTGATATTTAAAATGGACGTATACACTATGTCAGAGATTCTTGTTATATAACAATTAGATAAAGTTGTCTCATATGGACAGTTGAGGGAGAGCGTGTCAGATAGAAGTGTTTGACTTTTGAGTTTCAGCCTGGTTCCAGTTTGACCTTGAAGTGACGACAGATGTCTGAAAGCCAGAGTGGATTTAATCTCTTTTTCAGTAGCGCTCCACACTGTTTAAATACTTGTGTTTGTCCAGGTCACAATTCTTGTTCTTCTTCACTTAGCAGAGTTCACTCATTTCACTTTTCGGTCACAGTTTAGCGTGTATTCAATTAAAAATGTATTCCTTCTCCCCCTCTTCCCTTCTTTTGTACTTTTGTTTTGTTTTTATTTTTGGCCACCTTCCTCCGTTCCCCATGTACTGGATCAACTTGCCTCTCCTGCGTTGGCCCAACCTCTGCCCGCCCCTGAACGCCCGCCCGCCCCGCCCCGCTGCCCACCTGACACTCCCGGTTGGCCCCGCCCATAAACCGTGCCCCTCCTTAAATGGGCACCTAACTTGACATCTTGTGATTGAATGCCCCCGCCCAATGCCAACCTCCTCCACCACAACCACCACCACCAACACAACCACCACCACCTCCACAACCTCGGCCCATGCAGTACAATGCGAGTGTATCTGTCCCAGACAGCAGTGGCCCAGAGCGGTATGTCCCACCAGTTATTGCCCTACTGCCTGATTAGAACAGTGAAACTCATGTCTTTGATAACCTGCCTTCTGTTTCATTTTAACATTTTTATACATATATGACAGTAAACTCCCCTTCCTCCCCCAAACACCCCCGTCCTCCATCTGTAAGAGACATGTTTTGTTCCCCTTGATTTTTATGTCCATTTAAAGCATCTCCATTGAGTTGGAATTTTTGTCTTTATAGTTTATTATCCATGATAGAAATCACTGAGTAAAAGAACTGCACCTGACACTTTCAACCTGTATCAGATATATGAAATCATGTTGGACATGTAAGATGCAACACTACCTGTGTTCTGCACAGAAAAATACTTTTTGACTCCTTTCTTTACAGTTAGTGTATTTTTAACTAGACATCTTGAGTTGTCTCGATGAAGCTCTTTAGTTGGCTCGTGAGCTTAATTAAGTGGAAGCTCAGTTCACAGATACCGAAGTCTTTCAGGAGCGATAGAGAGACGCCTGCTTTTCAACAGGAAACTATCATCAGGTTTGTTTTTACAATTTAAGCTGTTTTCACCCAAGCATTCCTGAAATCTTCCAGACTCGCTTTTTTTTTTCACATTTGTAACTTGCAGCTCAAAGTTTTCCTCGTGAGGCGGTAGGGAGGGATGGGGGGGGGGATGGTTGATGTCTCTCAGGAGGCAAGCCATGATGTAAATATGATGCTGCAGAAACCCCGGAAGTGACACAGTCTGAAACTATACTGACAGTTTCATGCCTTTTATATCAATTTCTACATGTAATTGGAGTTATTAACAGTATCAACAAAGAAGTGTAAGACAACATACGGGTGAGCAGAAAAGGTTATGAACAAGGTCGCTCACATGGCACAAGCATCGCTCGTCAACTCCTGCTGCGTTCACACATCAGTTCACTTCGACAAACCAACTCCCCTTTCTTTTTTTACCAGAGGGCTGAAAGGAACACGTCTGGGTTAGGTTGGGACAAAAATGTGGTGGGTTTGCATTTTGTGCGTGTATGCAAACAGCTTAAGTTACCTGATTTGGTTGTTTTTGAGAGCAGCAGACCTCTGTGTTGGTTTAGCTGACGGTTAAACCTCATGAAAAATAAACACTGGAGGAATCCTAATGTTAACCTCAAACTTAGAAACATCTAGCAGCAGCAGCTCAGCTCTTGCTGTCCTTACCTACATTCAGCGTCCAACAGTGAGTGTTGGAGAAAAAGATACTTTTAACTTGAAACTGCTCCATTCAATGTTTCAGTACTTTTAATCACCAAAACATGTTTACCTTGGAGTGTAGGAGACCTCCCTAGATGATTCGGCTTATCAATTACCTCTTAACTAACACTGAAGAGTCATGTTAAGAATCTTTGAAAGTGAGTCAATTCTCAACTCTCCCCGACTGTAATTGGAATCATCAACTTTAAGGGTACAGCCCTTTCATGGTTAGAAACACAGCTGTTGGATGTAACGATTCCTTTGCTGTGATGTTTAATATCACAATGAAACTGAAAGAAAGTAGACTTCTTTTTTCCTCGCTCTGTCTTCTTTGGCCCTCTGGGTCCCCCTTCCTCCACCTTCCTCCACCTCTCCCCACACAGTTTTCAGCATCACTGTCCATGATTTCTGACAGAGCACTGGCTCCTGTTTTTGAGGCTCCACCTCCCTCCTCAGTGTGCCACCCATTGATGTCGTCTCTTTTTATTTAATTGTGCTGCATCCCTTCTTTTGAATTTCTCTCAGGCCACATCCGATCAGAGCCGCCTGCTAAAGCTTTCATAACTGTCCCCCAATCTCACCCCCCCGACCCCTCCACCCCCTGCTCCTGTCCTGTGCCACAAAGTAGTTGGTAACCACTCACATTTCCTCCCCCGACTCAACCCCTCTGCTCTGTTACTCCTCTCTCTTCTCGCCCACCTCGTCTCCTCCTCCTCACCTCCGCCCCAAAGCGCTCCCCTCCCCTCCCCAACCCCCTCCCTATCTTCCCTAAACCTCAGGTCACAATGAAAAGGTGTGCTGGGGGCCCAGTTGTTGTGTTTGAGTTACGTCCCTCTTCCCCAGCTTGCTGGTAGTGGGATGGGAAGATCTCTCTCTCTCTCTTTGTCACACCCCCTTCCCCAAGTCTGTGTGGCCTGTCTCACGTTAGTTTCAGCCTTTAAAGCTGCCCATCCTCCAAAGACTGTCACTTTGAAAACGACTTTAGATTGAGTGCATGCCAGCTGCTTTAGTAATGACTTTGTTGTTGAGAGAATTGTAATTTGGCACAAGTAGAAGACTTATTACTTTCTTTCTGCGTAAAAAATCTCGGCAAGTGTTTTCTGGACGTCTTCAAACATTTGTGATCAGGTTTTGCATTTTGGTTAAATTACTCTCCGTGTTGTAATATCATGCTTCCTCTTTTGCCAAAATGGTCTCCGCCAGGATCCTGAGTGTGAACGCTAGCATTGACACAATCGGAGAGATTCTGCTGAAAATCATTCCAACGTTAGAGGAGGTAAGCTCCAATGTTATAAAAAAAAACAGCAGTGTACATGCACATTGGCAAGATATGGAGATTGATTAAACCCTGGGAACATACATTAGATGATCTTGATATTTGGTGTGGCTTTGCTTAGCTTTGGTTTATTTCCCCTATATATTATTTTATACATGTTATGTTATCTGCATACAGTAGGATGTCCCATGCCGTTTTCCTTTAGCATCATCAAGTGTTCAATTCCAGAAAAGTTCTCTTTTAGTCAACAATGGGACGAGCTTCAGGCCCTACTGCTCTAACTTCTACTGCTTTGTGTTTCTGTAGTACCAGCATTACAGTGGAATAGATTTTGACAGTGAGCTTCGCCTGCTGATCCATCAAAGTTTGGCAGGGGGCATCATTGGGGTAAAAGGTGCAAAGATAAAGGAGCTGAGAGAGGTAGGGCAGTCACTTTGTTTTTTCTTGTATTTTAGGAGTTTCAGTATTCACAGGATGCGTTGTTTTTTTTCTCTGATGTTATTGGCTAATTCTGCAGCTAACGCTATCAGAGGATTGCCTGGATTTAAGGTTTTTAACGTGTTATCATGTTTTGATGCCCCAGAACACCCAGACAACCATCAAGCTGTTCCAGGAGTGCTGTCCTCACTCCACTGACAGAGTGGTGTTGGTGGGAGGAAAACCAGAACGTGTCGTTGAATGTATCAAAGTTATCCTGGAGCTGGTGTCAGAGGCGAGATTATTTCTCATCAGTCTGTTGCGAAAATGTTGAACAAGTGAAAGTTTTTCAGCTTTACTTCAAAACAGAGAGCAGTCTTTTGTAATATCAACTCTTTTTAAATCTCTTCTCTTCGATTCAACAGGCTCCCATCAAAGGTCGCACCCAACCTTATGACCCGAATTTCTACGATGAGACGTACGATTACGGCGGCTTCACCATGTTGTTCGAGGAGAGAGGCAGACGACCCATGGGGGGCTTCCCCATCCGTGTGCGGGGTGGCTTTGAGCGCATGCCCCCCCCTGTTCGTGGCAACCGACCCATGCTTCCTTCAAGAAGGGACTACGACGACATAAGCCCCCGTCGTGGTCCTCCGCCGCCGCTGAGCAGAGGCGGGCGAGGAGGCAGCCGAGCACGTAACCTGCCTCTCCCCCCGCCACCGCCGCCAAGAGGAGGGTGAGGAGGACCCCTATTGCAGGGGGAAGCTTTCACAACTAAACCGTTTACAGTTTTTTTTTTTTTTTATTCATAAAAAAAGTTTTTATAAGTTAAAACCTGTTATTGTTCATGGCGTAAGGGCGCGCTCACACCAGGCAATCTGTACTGCGCCCAATCATGTTTGACCCCCAAAGTCCAGTTTGTTTGTCCAGTGTGAGTTCTCCGTACCGTGCTCAAGCAAGGTAGACTTATTTTCCCTGGCATGGTGTGATGATGTGGACTTTGGCACGGTACGGTTTCTCATGCACAGAGGCTATAGTCCTCCAAGTGGGCGGCCTGGGTTCAAATCCGACCCATGGCTCCTTTCTCGCATGGCATTCAACACTCTCTCTCTCTTTCTACCCAATTTCTGACTCTATCCACTGTCCTATCACTAAATAAAAAAGGCACCAAAAGCCAAATAATAAGCCTTTAGAAGCTGATCTGAAGCAAGTGACACAACGGCCAAAAATAAACCGAACCCATCTCTTTTTTTTTTTTTTACGTGTGTCACTTTAATGTTCAAATGTTTATATTTATAAATGAATCAATTTGCCTCACAGTGCTCATCATTAATTTTCACAAACTAAACCAGAGCTCACGTGAAATCTATCAACTGAATGTGTCAACGCTTTCTCCCTGTCTGTCTTTGATTCCAGGGGAGACCGCTTCTCACATGGCAGCTATCACAGCAGCCTGGACGACAGACCAAGGTGATCACGGGGCAGGATCATCATTAGATTAGTTTATTTCAAAAAGCAGAGCAGTGTGTGATACGTCAGGATCAGAAAGTCTCACCCAGCAGCCTGATCACAGGATGTCAGTAGAGTCTGCATGTCTTTCAGTCATTAAAGCTTAGTGTTTAAATAGAATAAATGCTTCTTGCCATCTTGCACCAAATTTCAACATTGTGATCATAAAAATACACAAGAATTAAACACTGCATAAAAATAAGCAGTTGCTAGATTATAAATGTGGACTCTTTGGAAACAAAAAAAAGTAGTGTTGCCTGTTTTGACAGTTATTGCACATGGACACTTTGCACATCTATTCTTGCACATCTATTATTGCACTATTTTCTCATCGGTATTATTGTACTTTACGTGATTGCACTATTTTTGCTTCTTGTTATAGTACTGTGAGGTAGTTTACTGTCCATCAATAGGTTAGGTGGGGGCTCTTTCCCCCCAATACAAATCTTAAGAGTCACCTGCTGCATACTGTAGTGTCTAAAGTCATCCACAGTATAGAAGCTATATTAATGCATATGTTTCTGGTCCATAGTGATAGAAGAGGCAGAGGAGGAGAGCGTTACGACAGCATGGTGAGTGTGGTCTGTTTACCCGTGTAGCACTGCTGCTGCTGCTTCATGTCTGTAGCTTCCTGGTCTTGCATCCGTGGCGTTTGTGGATTATTTTTCATGATTGGACTTCCTTATGTCTGAGTGTAGTACAAGCACGGAGACATGAACACTGTGCTGCTTTCTCACTGTGTATGCACACTGATCTAGGTGCCTGTCGTTGCCTGGCAACAGTTGTCTCCTTGGTTACCACAGAGCAGCTGAGTACGTAGTTCAGAGATCCACCCGGCTAGCAAATGAACTTGAGTTGAAACCAAAGCAAGTCCTGAACAGGTTCCCTTCAGGTCTGAGCTGCAAGTGGGGGAAAAAAAAGGCAAACAATAAAACTGAAAAGATAAAAAAAAGAGTTAATCCATTCATTAAGATTTAAGGAACACGTGTTGTGCTGAAGAAGAAAACCCCAGACTTCTTTCTAAATGCAAATGAATTTTCATCCGTGGGAGCTTTAAAAGTTCACAAATTAAAGTATGACTAGAAGATACGTTTAAGGAAAGGATTAGCTTACTGATTTTCTTTCTACTTAAATAAGAACCTAATAAGTGTTACAAAAAGAAAAACGTAGCTTTGTTTCGCCAAAGATGCTGGGAAGATTCCTCTGAGAGCTTCCACTATATTTCTTAACAGCATCATGCAGTCGCTTCACGTTTGTCGGCTCAGTTTTATCCTACAAATCTTCAGCTCCCCCCACGTCCGAAAGGTGCTCTATTGGATTGAGATCTAGTTACATGGGATGCCATTATAGTACTCTGAACTCAAGCTGATGTTGGCTGAAGCAGCTTTTAGAGGATATGAGAGGTATTTCTGTTGGAAGTGGCCATCAGAAGACAGGGAGTCTGGGGCCAGACATGGATGCATTTGAACAACAACAACAACACTCGGTTAGACTGTAGCATGTTAATGATGCTAAATGTTAAAGAGACGACGGGTATAACTGTAACTAATCGCCTGCTTGACCCATAGAGACATTACATGACTTACACATAAAATCTTGTTTTGCATACAAAATTCTGATCCTTGTAGTGTCAGCATGACGAAGCAGGAATGTATTTGGGTCAAACTGAAAAAACTCTGGTACTGTCAAGGTATCCAAAACACTTTCATTATTATTATTGTTTTAAGATCGGCCTTTGACTTTTACGAGATAGTACAGCTAAAGAGAGACAGGACAGACACATCAAAGGACTATGGGAGGGAGTTGAACCTGCGGCTGATGTGTGGAGCCTCTGTACGTGCGGTGTCTGCTCTACCAACACAGCTAAACAAGCCCTAACACTCCTGCATTATTAAAGTGAGAGCTGTTCAAGTGTCTGTAATCCATCAACACATTATCAAGACATACTTAGCTGCTTAAAAGGCGTATCGTTTTTTGCTCTTGGTCTGTTCCTTTTCTTTTAAATGCATCATTTGAAATATATACAGACTAAACTGTCGTAGTGTACGGCTGTTCTCAGAGCTCTTCCGGTTGTTTCAGTGGCCTGCAGGCCTCAGATCTCAAACCAATAATGTCCTTTTCAGATAGAGTGGAATGGGATATTTGAAGCATGAATGTCACTGAAATATGTGCAGAGAATGCTTAATGCCGCGGAGTCAGCGCAGACTCGCATCCTTGTGGAATATTCCCAGCATCATGCTGAATCCATGCCTCAGAGAAATCACACTGTTCTTGAAACAAAAAAAGGATCCAGTACCAGCCAGGATATTTGTGTGTATATATATATATATATATATATATGTATTGAGTAGTTACCAAGTGTGTGGTCTGTTATTATGTCACTAATAGAGTTTCATTTTTTTTCTTCTTCAATCTATCCTGGCATTCAGAGTGGAGGCGGATATGGTGAGTGTTGACATTTATGGGAATCCAGCACAGATTTAAAGTTTTAACTGTTTAATTGTAATTTTACATACTACTCTAGTTTTACACACTATTGAGAGACATGCTGCTCACACACATGCACAAACAGGACCTGTGCACATGCATTAGTGGAGAGATGTCAGAGTGGGGCTGCTTCACAGGAAGCACACCAGAGAGCTGTTGGGGGTTCGGTGGTTCAAGGGCACCTTGGCACCTCGGGAAGTGGCCTGGCACCTCTCCAGTTGCCAGACCAACTTCCATATTTCGGTCAGCACCGGGACTTGATCTGGAGACCCTCTGATTCCCAACCCAAGTCCCTACAGACGGAGCTACTGCCACCCCACTTTAAGTCACTCCATTCAGCAATTATTTTCTATAGGGCAATTCATTACTGCAGGTTTTGTTATTGGTGTTCAGGTCCAAGGTTAGTTCATACACTCATACAGTGTCCTGGCAATCAGGCACCTTTATACAAGCTAATGCAGTTCAACATCTCTGCCACAACGTCTTTCTCGATCAAGGTCACACGCTTCAGTTTTAGTTTAAATTGACAGAAAAGCTTACATGTTTTCAACCTAATGTTTGTAACTGCGGCCATACTTTAGAGGTGATTTTATCCTGGACTTCAAATGTTGAGTTTTTTTTTTCCTCTAGTCACATGGCATTACATTGAACAGCTGTTCTAAATGAGTATATTCTCTAAATCACTTTATAAGGAAACAAAATCAGGAAAGGAAAATTATCAATTTAATAGCAAAAAATTAATATCCCTCTTTAAGCAGAGGGACTTTGTGGTTAAAGTTTGGATTTCAGGGCCGTACTATTAGTTAATTATTGAACATTCACATGCATTACAGTCTGTAGCTTAATCATTTTGTTTGCCCTTTAAGCTGTTTTAAAATCGGCTGACACCAGGGTGTTCATCAGTGAATTCATATTTGCTTTAACAAAAAACATATTCTTTGTCGTTCAACTCGTTTGTCTGCTTGGGGTTTTACTGTGTAACTGGTTTTTCTATCACACTACCTCTTGTCTTTGTGGTGTGTTTTTTACTTTTCACTCTCTTGTTTCCTTTCCCATGATTCTCTCAAAGACAACAATTCTTCCTGGGACCACTTTCAGTCTGGTGAGTGGCAATAGATTGTAAGAGTCCAGTGTCTTGTTTCCTAACCTAAAGGGATTGTTTCGTCTTGCTCGCTGCTTCTGTTACAGACAAATTCACCTTAAATGCTCTTTCTCACCTCTTGTTGTAGGCGGTAGAGGCTCGTACAGCGATATTGGAGGCCCAGTCATCACAACACAAGTCACCATCCCAAAAGATGTAAGCATGCCATCAAATCTTCCAGAAAAGTCTGAAAAAAAATTGTTAAATATTGCAGAAAATAATGTAAGAGAAGAAATGTCCCCCTAACATCGATGTCCAGTTGACGTGTGTGTGTGTGTGTGTGTGTGTGTTTGTCCTGCAGCTTGCTGGCTCCATCATCGGTAAGGGAGGCCAGAGGATCAAGCAGATCCGCCACGAGTCCGGTGCATCCATCAAGATTGATGAACCACTAGAGGGCTCTGAGGACCGCATCATCACCATCACAGGAACACAGGACCAGATCCAGAATGCCCAGTACCTGCTGCAGAACAGGCACGTGCTCCTGTGATTCCCTCCTCTCATTGTGCAGTGTGCTCCCCTCTGAGGCCTGCATGATCATGCACCGCTGCATGGACATTTTTTTTTAATTTTTTTTTTTAATATATATGTCGTCTCAAATGTGAGTAAACTCTCTCAGCCCAGCAAGGAGAAACGTAATTCAGACTTCATTATAAAAGACATAAAACATATCATGAGTTTGTTATTTTGTTTGTTTTACAGCATTTATCTGAACATCAGTTATAAAAGTGTGAACATCCTAAAGGTTTCATCCTGTGTAGACCTAAACATGGTTGTTTAAACAGTGATGAGCAGAATGTGATTTAGCTGCTTTTCTAATATAATTTGACTCCTTTTGATCAATTAAAACATTTGATGATTTTAGTTTTTCAATTTCCCAACTAGAAACCGTTTTCACTTTAACTGTACAGATTCATTTTTCACCATTTTCTCCCCTCATTGATGAAACAGGCAAAAATGTATCAGTACAGGTTACAGTGGTTATTGCGTGTGCCCGATGTAAAGTGGCTATAGTCCTCCAAGCGGGCGCCTCGGGTTCGAATCTGACCTGCGGCTCCCACTCTCTCTCTGATTTCTCTATCCACTGTCCTGTCTCTACAATAAAGGCCCAAAAAGCCCCCCCCCCCCCAAAAAAAAGCATCAGTTGACATATTGATAATAACATTAAATATTAGCTACAGCCCTAACATTAATGAAATTAACTGCAAACATTCAACTTAAAAAAAACAGTGTTTTACTGCCCCACTTTCATGTTCAATTTGTCCTCACTATGCCGGAACATTAGTGTTTTGTTTTTTTCTTCCACCAGTATTTCATCTTTAAAAGCTTTTCACTGTGCACACACACGTCCTCTCTGCCCCCATCACTAAATGGCTAAGCTGGTCTCAGCAGTCGTATTGCTGCTCGCAGACAAAATGTGTCCTCAGCCTTGACCTTGGCAGACTTTTTTTTACATAACTCACAGTTGTGCTCCACATGAAAAATGTCCCAGTTTGCAGCTCCCAGCATTACCAGCTCATGACCCATGTCATGGTCCTGTTGAAATACATATTCTTAATGTTTTGAAACGCCCCTCCCTTACCTTTTGATCTGTCTCTTATTTCAGTGTGAGGCAGTACTCTGGGCGCTTCTTCTGAGGAGGTGGAAGTAATGGAGAAGATTGAAGCCATGCTGCCAAACTGTTTGCTCCCTCTAATCAGAGCCTACATTCCTCCGCTTCGGGTCGATGTGCCCCCCTCCCCAACATATCAAAAAAAAAAAAAAAGTACATCTATAAAGAGCAATTTTCATTCTTAAGGAGTTTTTAAAGAGAGGTCTTAAGCTGCCAAAACTCGAACAAGGATTCAACATCATCTTTCTGTGCTGGTGTACTCATTTTTTAGGACATTCTCGTACCGAGTCAACTCATCGGTGTGATCCCTTTTAATGTCGTGAGCTCTGGCCCTTTATCTTCAGTATTTCAGATCAGCATGCAGAATGTAATCGTTTTGTAAGGAACTCTGTGATTTTACCTTCTTTTTTTTTTTCCTTATAGTTAAAGCACACTCTTCAAATGAAGATGCATGCTCTCTGAGTGGTAAAGGTTTGGCAAGTGCAGAAGGTCATGCTTGCAATATTTTTTGTTCTTGAGGTCTGGAGTTTATTATGTTATAACATCAAGATAATGCAGCTTATTTTCTTGTGATAACTGGTAAGTTTACCTTTTTAAAAAAAAAAAAGGTTACAAGATTTTCTGACAAAAAATCATAAACTGAGTTTGTCATTTGGAGGAAGTTCTTTAACTGGATAAAGTTTTATTTAAAGGCAGGGTAATAAGTTAGCGCTTTTCATGTTGACGTATTCAAAATAAGCTTATCTTCAAAACAACAACATGGTTTGATTATCTGAAGATAACTAGTTAATTATATCTATCTTATGTACGCTTCTTTTTCTATGGTAATAGGTTCATCACCGTAACAACGCATCACTGAAAAATTATTGTTGGAATCTCAAAAAGTTTTTTGCTTCTTTATCTTTAAATGAAAGGCATGTTTTTTTAATGATGTCAGTAAACCACATCATCTCCAGAAAACAAAAGGGTCGTGTTCAGGATTTATCAAAAGAAAAAAAATATATATTTTCTTGAGACCAAAAGTTGAAAACTGTTAAATTTTCAACATAGCCTGATTTCTTTTAGTAACAAGATAATCATTAAGTAACAGAGATCACAAGTTATTTCTTACTTTATGTCAAGTTGACAGGTTTCCTTTCTGCTTGCAATAAGGTCATTGAACTTGTGATCTCAAGAAAAAAACAAACTAGAGATAAATAATCACCTCATCACTTTTGTTATCTGGTGATCAAGCGGTGATCATTTCTTTATCTCTAAAATAAAAAGAAAAAAAGATTATTATTTTTTTCCATGTGATAGTGGAGTAATTTATCTTGTTCGAATACATGATTCAATATTAGATTACACGTCTTCTTGAGGGAAAATTAATTTTGTTGAGAAACAAAACTAATACCAGATGATTTATGGCATGAAAAAAAAATTGCAAGCAAATCCGTTCTCAGCTTTTTTATTAAATAACACATTTAAGGGATGTTAATGTATACATGACAACCAACATCCCTTTTCACCTTTTGTTTTTTTTAGGCTTCAATGGAGTAGTTTGACATTTTGGGAAATATGAAAAACCCCCTCTGAAGGTCACTACCTTTTTTTTTTTTTTTCTTTTTAAAGACAGAAAAGGTGTAATCTTCTTGTTTGGGTAGCCAGCCAACTCCCTACCAGAAATTCAATAAACCTATTTCTGAAAACACAATTCTTTTGCTTCAAGTTTGAGTCAATGTGCCATTGTAGTATAGCAAAATCACAATGTTAGGGTTCTTTGTTTTTCATTGAAACACAATCCATTGTATGAAGTGTGTGTGTGTGTGTGTGTATATTTATATAGAAACAGTCATTTCATGATACAACATACTGCGTTTTTAAAGACAGTGTTAATCTTTCATTTTAATGCTGTTTGATTTCTTTTTTTTTCCACTCATTTTTTGTTGATTTGTTGATTGAATTTGGTCAGTTTGTAACTTTTTCCTCTATAAAGGGCTGTTATCTGAAGATGCAGCTTTACGTGAGGAGTGTGCAGCTTTGGGAGTCCATGTGATATTTCCTCTCTGTTCATATTTGTACCTCAGTGTCTTGATATCTGTACTTACCTGCAGGTGTTGAGTAAATAAAGTCATCGTTCTCAATGTCTGTGCTCTTATTTGACTAAAGCGAAAGGAATAACTAATGCATGACTGGTTCAATGTTGTTTAGTTTCCAATTCCAGGGAAGAGCGAAGTGTGTCAGCCGGTCGCTCCAAATGTCCCATGCATCCGTAGTTTACAAGCCAACACCGGAAATTTATTCCCATAATGTAATAGTGAGAGCCCACACGGTTTCCCATCAGAGCACAGCCCTGAGTCACATGGTTCACTGCTGCTTTCACCCAGGATACACACAGAGGGAGCAGCACAACAAGGACGCCGAGCAAGACAACACAAGGCTTCCTCAGCAAAGACAAATAAAACTCGCGAAGAGAATCTCCTTTGCGACTCGGCACTGACTTTTTGCACAGTTTTGGTGAAATTTGAAGCGCTATGAAGTGAAACTCCGCCATATTCAGCTCACCACGCCCGGAGCTGTTGCTCTCAGGGATTATAAAAAAAAAAAAAAAAAAAAAAACTCGCTGCTTCAGTCCGCCGAAGTTGTTGCACAAACTTAATTTCCCCTTCACAGAGGAGGAACAAGGTAATACAAACAGCCGAGGGATTATCTTTACTTCCTTACAATTTACATTTGTTAAAACCTTGTTTCCAGAGAGTGCTGTGTTGTCGTACGCAGAGGGGATTCTGGAGGGGTTAATCCACATTTATTGATTTGCGGATACTCAGGACTCTTCCTTCATTCCTGTATAACCAACATTATGAATGTGTGTGTGCCTCTGAAGGGGAAGTGTTACCCAGGAGTAATGACGCTGAGCTCCGTGGGGGCTTGCTGCCTCAGCCCGGAGGCCAAAGAGGCTCGCAGGATCAACGATGAGATTGAGAGGCAGCTCCGCCGGGACAAGAAAGACTCCCGACGGGAATACAAGCTCCTACTGCTCGGTGAGGGCCCGACAAAAACACTCTTTTTTATTTTATTTAATTTTTTCAATGTATTTTATTTCCCTCTGTTGTCTTTTCTTTTGTTCCCTGTCTTTCTTTAATAGTCCAACACTATGCTGTAATAGACAGGTGAGAAATGCTGTGAAAAAGGGGAAGAAGTTTCATCCTTATGAAGAACAAATCATTTTCAAACAATACAAAAAATTAAATCTGAAGATAGAAGGGTTCATATTTACATGTAGCCTATGAAAATACATATGCAAAATTTCACTCACACACACACACACATAAAAAAACAACACACTGTACATAAACTACACACAGTCATACATGTTAACACATACAGAAGCAGACACCCATAAAAGATCAAATCTAAATTGTAGGCTTCTTTCTAAAATAAAAGTACTTACAACGATATGTCCACTTTCAGAGTTAAAACTACTTTTATATTTTTGAATCATTTTTATTTCATTCATCAACATGTGAAGATCGTTAAGGATTATTTTCTAGGTTGTTTGGGTGAGGATTAGCACATTGGAACAATTAGGCGATATAATGTAAAAAAAAAAAAAAAAAAAAAAATCTATTTATAAGACAATTATTACTGTTTGTTTATACAAACCTGTCGAGTAACCACAGCTCTTAAATCAATGTTGGTGAGTTATAAATATCAGATTGTTCTCTCTTGTGTATTGTGGAGAAGAACACACACAAAAAAGAATACTGCAGTGAAGTATAAGTACCTCCATTATGTTAATAAGTACAGGTTATGTTCTAACTATCCACCCAGCAGTAACTGTGAGCATCCATTGTGTTGACATTTATAAAGCAACTCATCAAATATGAAATGGAAGAACCCTTATTTGCTCTGGCTTTGAAGTGCACAAGTATGAGACGATGTGTTTGTGGTTAAAAACAATGACGTATTACAAAGCATGCAGCAAGAGGTACTGGTGCAAAATCAGTGATGCAACAGAATGAAAATACTCATGAGTACATAAACATACTCAATAATAATCAGCAGAATGTTTATCAAGTATCTAATGTTGCCGTACCCATAATGCATCGGGCTAATGGCAGAGAAGCAGATCATTTTAAATACCTAATGTACTACTTGGCAGTTTCATGGGAACGTTTGGATCACATCTCATAAGATCATATTTCTACATTAGTGAAAACTTTTTTATTTTCCTTTCCATCATCTGATTGTTGTGCTTTTACTCCACGTTCAGTTAAAGAGTAAGAATAACTTATGATTTGGGTTTCACATATCAAAAATCAGTTCATAAAATAAATGCAATCATAGATAAATCTTTAAAGTAATGGTATAAGACCTATTCTTAACCTTTACCCTACTAACATTACAAAAACAACAGTTTAAAAGCCCTTAACTAGAACTACAAAATCTGATTCAAGACAAAGTAAACAATCTCCCTGAAATTGTCCACAATAATATTAGAAGTTACTGTGTACACATATTAGATCGTTAGTACTGATGCATTGACTTTCCTTAATATGCAGTGTGGTATTGTCCAGTGTTTGCCAAATAAGCGATCACGCCCTTCCAAGGGGTCACAAGAGTTGATAAATGAGGCAGAGCTAATTGTTGAGCCTTGTCAAGGTGTAATTGGCCTAACTTGAAGAAATACTGGTAAAGGGAGGGGTTGGCATGAACAGAGTCTGGATCTGTTGAAGTTGGCAATGCTGTTTGGGTTGTGGTGGCCACTGAGGGCCATGTGGTATGTTTGCTATGTTATCAGTAGGGCAAAACCATTGGTATGAGGTCGCAGTGTGTGCGTGCTCGTGGGTGTGTGTGTGTGTGTTTATCTTAAATGACCTCATTTGAACTAAATAGATAAGAAAATAATCAGGAAATCATTGCTATACAAAGTGCTGCTGACACATAAACGGACAGGTCATTTTCCAATGAATATATACTGTTAACATGATTAATATGAAATCCTAAATTGGGGTCTTTGTCCTAATGAATACTTTTGATACTTTAAAGGAAGGCTGTGCGACATTTCAAGAAATCAAGTATATCCTCTGTAAATGTCTCTCTGAGTCATGACTGTCTACAATGAGTGAGACGCGTGAGTCCTGCCAGCTGTATTGTTGTCGTAGCTGTGTTTACGTCACGTTTACACGGACGGGACGGCCTTGCGTATGAAGCTGTTTAAGTCAAGGACTACAGAAGTGGAGAATAACACAGCCTGTTCACTGCTTATTTGGATGTCTTTAGATCACATGTCAATTTATGTAGCATACAATATGAAGCTACGAGCTAACCAAATTGTGCTAGCATTAGCCTGCAAACACAACAGTGCAGGTCACGGGCGATTGCAGCTCGAGCAAAGGACACATTTGTGCTTCATGGTGCTTAATTATGGTTCATTCTAATTCATAACTCCTTTGTGCAAACTGGAGTTGAGGGGGGTTGGAGGTGTGCCGCTGGAGGAGAGCGGAGACTTCAGAATAGCGGAGGTGTCGTCAAACAGCAGTTTGTTTTGGTTTCACGCTGGTGCTCAAGGGCGACATCTACTGGATCAAAAAGTCGCACATTCTTCCTTTAAGTACATTCCACTATTCATCCTTTACTTTACTTCAGATAACTCTTGAGGACTGACACATTTAAAACTATTACACGGTTGTAATGCTTGTTTTTGGCATGTAAAACAGCAATTCTTGATGTACCACAAAGTACTCTATAAACAAATCAAAGCTCCTTCGCTATAAATAAATAGATTTCCAAATTCTTTATTTAATTGTCCTTAAAGTACTTAAGTGTGTAATGATGCGTTTGAGGTTGACTATCAACAGTAAATGTGCGTTTTAAAAACAAGGCAGCTGTCTCTGGTCACAATACATCTCACTGTTTAAAGATAGAAACATTCTACCACAGTGGGCAGAAAAATATTACTACATGATAACCAGTTGTGTAAGAAAGATTGGGGTTATTTATTTAATGTGTTGCACCACAAGGTGAAAAAACTCCACTCCAGATAAAATCAGTCAAACATGACTGTATGCCAAATTAAAGAAGGCATATCAGCTACCTGAACTTAGAGAAATGAAATAAACTCATGTGGAAAAATATTTTGGTATATATATTTTTTTTATTACTGATGCGTTAGAAGCCGTTGAGCTGGAGTTAATTCTTCTCTAGCGTTTCATCGGTTACGTTGCATCAGATTTTGCTGACAGATCATATGTGCTTAGATTTGATTTGTGTAACTCGATAAAGAATGCATTAGCAATGCTGTGACGAAGCTGAAGGTGTAACACACAGTCACGTTGGTTGTGGTTATTGTGCTCTGAAAATTAAAAAAAATGAATGACTCATGCTAAATGTGTAACTGCCCTTTTAGGTTCAAAAGTCGGATGTGAAGCTTCAGTGCTCTCCAGTAAGGCCACATATACTGTGAAGAATGTTTCCTTTAGATCATTCTGAATAGTACTGTCAAGGGTTCAAACATACTGTATAGTCTATGTTTAATCACTTTAGTTTAAATGACAAAAAAAACATTCATAGTTTTATTGTCACTTCACTCTCCTGCCGTTTGTAAAGCGCTCTAACTGTTGCCAATAAATGCTTTTGTTCCGACCTTAATCAGCCACACGGAGAACACTGCGACTTCATGTAGTTAAGATGTTTTAAAGGTACAGGCAGTCACTGGTGAGTTGACAAAACACTGTTTCTAAAACCTGTCTCTAAGAATAAACACAAGTCCCATCAGGCCCAGGAGAGGATACAAACCAGACCCTGGTAATAAAAGTAATTCCAAGATTGCATAATAGTGAGACTTGGGAGCTCTTCACAGACACTACAGACAACACTTCTTTTTTCTTCTGATGTTATAAACTACTTGTCAGAGTTTAAGGATACAGCAGGTGGCTTTCTGTAGCTCTCATGGCATCGGCAGATCACATGAAGAGATGAAACCCAACAATTATTACTAACAAGTAGCACCTTCATATTTGACACCCTAATGTAGCTTATAAGAGCAATATCTAAGATATCTACTGAATTAAATCCTAAAATGACCTTACTATTTCATCAGACATTCAGGAAAAACTCTATGTAATGTGCAGTTTTTACCCGG